TGCTCGGACTGCCCGTCTCAGAGATACTAAATGACGGCCAAATGAATGTAGATTCAGGGCAAACAGCTCAACGTTAAAGCTGCTTAACCTCAACTCAGCCAACCAAACTTTTATCCACTCGCTTTTATGTAATGTGACGGCATTCATTTCATCTTTTCATGTTTTATTCTTTCGGTCTTTTTTGTTTTATCTTTTATTTAGTGTTTACTGTATTGCCATACGTCATTACTCTTATTTGACATTGTTTTGTTGCCTTACTTGAGCACTGCTGGTCTGTTGTTTTCACTGACTGTCAAAGTACTTTGAAAAACGTCTTCTGAAATGCTTCACAAATCCCAGCCTGCTATTCAGTAAAAATTCTGTAACAAAAAGAGAGCTACCTCTCTGTTTCAGTCATTGCATTAGATATATACATTTAATGAAAATGTTTTTATTAGAGCCAGTTTGGAAGCGCCTCAAACACTAACTCCCTGAAGTTACTCAATTAGTGAAGATGAGAGCTCTTCAAAGGGTTTTATATGCTTAATAGCTACCAGTCACACATACCTTAGATCACAACTGACCATTTCCAGAAGCATATAGCAAATTTTTATAAGGTTTTCGAACATCTCAGGCAGCTGTTAGTTTCCATTAATTACAGTAAGCTATGAAAACCGACATTTAGAGGTTGCTAAACTTGAAGAAATCATCACAGTGTACATTTGTGTCCGCTGTGAAATGATTGTTGAAATACACAGCAGACTTTAAACTGCATCTCACGGTCTGTTACTGTGTGGACATAACGAGACAACCTAGTGTATGGATCTCCCATGTCGTCACATAAGGATGCATGATCAAGACCCCTCGGCGTCAGATAGTAACGCAGTGGAGGAAGCCCTTTAGTGTCATTGTTGAACGCTAAAACTAGGCTGAGTATAACTAAGAGAGGTCAGAGTAAGGAGGTGGTTGGGTAGATGGGTGGGTCAGAAACCGGACTTTTACCCAGGAGACCACTGTTCATCGAAACAAATGAAACTTAAGGCTCGTGCAGACTACACGACTTTCAGCGTCGGCACATCACCGTGCTGTTCACACTACACGACTTTCAGCGTCGGCACATCACCGTGCTGTTCACACTACACGACTTTCAGCGTCGGCACATCACCGTGCTGTTCACACTACACGACTTTCAGCGTCGGCACATCACCGTGCTGTTCACACTACACGACTTACAGCGTCGGCACATCACCACACGACTTACAGCGTCGGCACATCACCGTGCTGTTCACACTACACGACTTACAGCGTCGGCACATCACCGTGCTGTTCACACTACACGACTTACAGCGTCGGCACATCACCACACGACTTACAGCGTCGGCACATCACCGTGCTGTTCACACTACACGACTTTCAGCGTCGGCACATCACCGTGCTGTTCACACTACACGACTTTCAGCGTCGGCACATCACCGTGCTGTTCACACTACACGACTTACAGCGTCGGCACATCACCGTGCTGTTCACACTACACGACTTACAGCGTCGGCACATCACCGTGCTGTTCACACTACACGACTTACAGCGTCGGCACATCACCACACGACTTACAGCGTCGGCACATCACCGTGCTGTTCACACTACACGACTTACAGCGTCGGCACATCACCGTGCTGTTCACACTACACGACTTACAGCGTCGGCACATCACCGTGCTGTTCCCACTACACGACTTTCAGCGTCGGCACATCACCGTGCTGTTCCCACTACACGACTTACAGCGTCGGCACATCACCGTGCTGTTCACACTACACGACTTACAGCGTCGGCACATCACCGTGCTGTTCCCACTACACGACTTTCAGCGTCGGCACATCACCGTGCTGTTCCCACTACACGACTTACAGCGTCGGCACATCACCGTGCTGTTCCCACTACACGACTTTCAGCGTCGGCACATCACCATGCTGTTCCCACTACACGACTTTCAGCGTCGGCACATCACCGTGCTGTTCACACTACACGACTTTCAGCGTCGGCACATCACATCACCGTGCTGTTCACACTACACGACTTTCAGCGTCGGCACATCACCGTGCTGTTCACACTACACGACTTACAGCGTCGGCACATCACCGTGCTGTTCACACTACACGACTTTCAGCGTCGGCACATCACCGTGCTGTTCACACTACACGACTTTCAGCGTCGGCACATCACCGTGCTGTTCACACTACACGACTTTCAGCGTCGGCACATCACCGTGCTGTTCACACTACACGACTTACAGCGTCGGCACATCACCGTGCTGTTCACACTACACGACTTACAGCGTCGGCACATCACCGTGCTGTTCACACTACACGACTTTCAGCGTCGGCACATCACCGTGCTGTTCACACTACACGACTTTCAGCGTCGGCACATCACCGTGCTGTTCACACTACACGACTTTCAGCGTCGGCACATCACATCACCGTGCTGTTCACACTACACGACTTTCAGCGTCGGCACATCACCGTGCTGTTCACACTACACGACTTTCAGCGTCGGCACATCACCGTGCTGTTCACACTACACAACTTTCAGCGTCGGCACATCACCGTGCTGTTCACACTACACGACTTTCAGCGTCGGCACATCACCGTGCTGTTCACACTACACGACTTTCAGCGTCGGCACATCACCGTGCTGTTCACACTACACGACTTTCAGCGTCGGCACATCACCGTGCTGTTCACACTACACGAGCTGATAGCGGCTCGGTCACCTGACACTGGTCTCCAAACCACGTTTGGTCAAGAAAACACGTGAAATGTGAAACGTGACATGACACAAACCTACACACGAAACAGCTGTTTGTTATTCTAAAGACAAAGAATCTGGGTGAAAGGCTGGATCAGCACAGGCAGGCAGCTGCCTGCTCTCATTGGCTGGATGTGGAGTCGGCTGATTCCTCCAGATATTTGGCGCGCTAGATATCTGGCTGGCGTCGGCGATGCGTCAGTGATGCCTCGTTGAGTAGTTCACACATAACGACTGCTGACCGCAGATCGATCGCTGATTTACCCCTGATCACAGCCGGACGGTCGCCGAGCTCACCGACTGGCAAATCGGGCTTAAAATCGTGTAGTTACCTAAATCACGTAAGTCATGTAGTTATTTTAACCCAAACCATGATCTTTTCCTAAACCTAACCAAATAGTTCCGTTTCACAACGTTAACTACTAGTTTTATTTTTAAAGTCTAACCGGACGGTGAATATGACCCAACGCAGGCGGCCCGCAAGCCAATAATATCTGGGCTGTGGCCTGATTACTTTGATTAAAAAAAAAAAATTAAAAATTATTATAGCAGCTGGTGTTGAAACAGATCTCAGTCATGATAACAAAAGTTACTCACATTATCACTTCCTTTTCAGTGATTGTGCCTACAAAATAAAAGCGCGAGAACATATTTGCAGCAGTGCTTTATGTCGTGTTTAAGGAAGAGCTTTAACTTTGAAAAGTTCTGAAGGAAATTCAAAAGAGTCTCTGGCTTACTTGACACACCTCTGAAAAAGCAGTCAGATCAGATTTCCCTGAATGTGAAAAGCAGGAATTTCCTCTGCCTGGAGATACTGGGGACACGAAAATGAGCGTCCATAGGTTGATGTGGACAGATCGCTGTGATGTACACGGTGTCTACACAATCAAACTTAATAATATGTAATACGATCTCTACATAAATCAATTTTTTGAAAAAGGAAGAAAAGAAATTACCAGTTCAGCACGTGAGGATTGAACACGACTTTCCAAACGGGAGTCCTGTGCACGACCAACTGAGCTAATCGCACACACAGTAAATGTTGGAATGTAAATGGTCAACTGACGATGTTTTGGCCCGCCTTCTAATGACTTGAAACTAATTTGGCCCGATGCCAGACTTATTTGCAGACCCCTGCTTTAGGGTACCCAGGGCGTTAAAAAAGGGGGTCTTGACCAAGCGTCCATATGTGACGAGTCAGGAGGGAGAATGTATCAGAATACTCATGTGGGTCACTGACTATGAGCATGACTGTTAACCTAGTGAAGGACCTGCTAGGAAATAAACTGGAACAATGACTGGACAGTGGAAAAAATGTAAAGCTCTACAGTAAATGAGTTTTACATGAAGGAAACTCCAGGGCACAAAGGATTGATTTACATACATTGCTCCATATATAAGTAGAAAAATAAAAGTTTGCATGCAAGATGCACAAAATGTACAAATGACCTTGTGGCTGGTTCTCAGTAAACCTGGACCTCAGTGTAATGGTGCTTTATTGATCGCATAAAGTAATCATTTTTTATGGATTAGAGCGAGCATGTGTCCAGGCTCATGTCATACCTAGAATACAAAATATGTTCTTTCACGGAATAAGCCTGAGTGTTAGCGCACATTTTTTGAGGCCGTGCCAACAATACAAACATCTGCAGTCACTTTATGCACCAACTTGCCAAACACATTTCAGGCCTCTGGTCCTCTCTGACTGCATGCTCCATGCACACTTTACACACACGTAGCACACACCTGAGAGCCCTGTCCATGCACTTAAACACTTGTTACGATTTTCCACCAGAGCTAAGAGCGCACTGAAACAGGAGTTTGTCAGGTCTCGTGTAATACGTACAGTATATATCTAGAACCGGCAGAGCGAGAATGATGCGTCATGTATTTAACCGCAGTTTGGCGAAGGAGGGGAGGATTTAAAACTGTGGCCTGACCTCACAGTGAAGTTAAAACAGTTCAGTGAAGTGAAGAAGTGAAGTAAGGTCATACTGAGGGCGAACAGACGGCGTCTGTGGTATAAATTTGAAGAAGTGCTGCTGAGCTGTACGTCCCTCCCGTACTTCGCTGAACTGGGATTAAATGCATTATTTATCAGAACAGATAAAAACCATCATCAATTACACGTTGAACAACCTTGTTGGTCGACCTGTGTGTGCGTCACACATGTTTGTCCATGCTCGTGAACACACGCGCAGATCGCCGTCGCTCACCTCTGACCATGGGTTGCCATGTCGATGGCTCGTCGCACCGGTACGGGAGACCCTCCCTCCGTGACACTCAGCACCTCCATGGACTTCCTCTCCGGTCTCCGTTTGCCGTGACGGCTCAGCATGGGAGAGTCCACGCGCTTCCTTGGAGGGTCTGCTGAGAGATGTCAGGGTCAGGTCAGGGGTCAAAGGTCAATGACGGCATAATACAAGGACAGAAACTGGTCAGGAAACCGAATCACCAAAGTCAGTTTTCAGGAATTAAAGAAAGAGTGTTTTTTTTATCTTGACAAATTTTATCTGGAGGGTTGAGTTATGTGGTCTACGTGTGCAGCTTTGAGCTTAGGAGCCAGCTTGGACTTAAGGCTGCCCCTAAAGGTCCGGACTGGACAAAATGTTGGCAAAGCAACGGAAATTAGAGACTGTTGTGCCCACATCTTTACAGAGACCTGCGCCAACAACATCCCGGATCAATCACTCGGCGGGCGGACCGTGTTTCCGAGCTGTCAGAGCAAGACTCCAGCTGGACTCTGGATGCTTGGTGCTCAAACACAGTCAAGATGGACTCAGGACTTTTTAATGTGAACATTATCATCTTGTTTTTGCTGTTTACATTCTCCCCAAAAATGACAGCTCTGCAGAAACTTCTGGGTGTCTGTGTGTATGTACATAGCCTATTGTTTTATTTTATTTATATGTTACCATATTTTAATACACATTTAATTATCTGTAAAGTTCTATATGTGTAGCATTAAGGGACTTTTGTGATGGGATCTTGTGTAATGACAAATAAACAACCTTGTAATGTCATTTAGCACTAAACACAAAGGCTGATTGGTTTCACAGATGGACACAATGAAATGCTGACCTGATGATGAATCACTAAATTGTACAGTTGTACGGTCAACAGCTTATCCTGTGTACAGGGTCGCAGGAGCCAATACCAACTGGCACTGGGCGGGAGGCGGGGTACTCCCCGGACAGGCCGCCAGTCCATCGCGGGGCCAACACACAGACAAACAACCATTCACATTCACACCAAGGGCAATTTAGAGTCACCAATTAACCTGCATGTCTTTGGAATCAGGACCTATCGTTTAAAAACAACACTCTTAGTTTGTAGCCTGATTTCACTCAGGTGGACTGGCATACCAATCTCATTGCGTGGCGGCAGGTTCTGGTCCTCCTGGCTGGGATACCTCTCCTTACGGTCCAGCAGCAGGAAGTAGATCATCTTTTCCTGGTTGTCACTGGAGAGAATCAGAGAGCTCGCTGTCAGCTGAGTGCCCATTGGTTAAGAGCGGGACGGTAAAGATGCTCCATCATCACAAGACACGTTAAACAGAAGAATTCATCAAACTGACAATTTCTCAGCTGTCTCATATTTATCCTGTCAGCTCCTTCACCCCTTATCTCCCACTCCTCCTCCACCTCACTCACTCCTCAGACAGCAGGTCTTTGGTCAGTTTCTCCTTGTCTCGGAAGCAGCCCAGGGAGTGCATGCTCTCCAGGACGTCTGGGTCGATCTCCTCGGTCGCAGAGAGCATCCTGATGGCCACCTTCCTGGGGACTGGCTGCTCGGGCTCAGGCTCATTCTTTCCAGCTCTGCAACACAACACACGCAGCTAACAGACAGGCCGAGACTGGCACTGAGCAAAGGGTTTAACTAAAGTTGCCGGTAGCTGGCAGCTTTTGCCTTTGAAGATGACCTTTCTTGTACGAACAAATGATTCCCTCAAAATGCAAATCATGTTAGGGTGGAAAAAGCCTTTAATTGAGCACACTGGGCAGCTCAAACCTGAAGGGAGACGTGCTCTACTGCACAAGACTTCCTGATAAGCAAGCAAACAAGTCTAACAACTTGAAAGGGAAGCAGTCGGGTATGCAGCGTAAACTCCACGTTAGAGCTCAATAGAGAAATTTGGCAGAAAGAAAATGCTTTGTTTCAGCCAAAACAATCCATGTGGAATAAACTAAATTAAAATACAAATACATTATATTTCTATACAAAACATTTAGTGAGTTCAAATTGTGGATGCTTCAGTTCTATGTCAGTGGTAAAAGAGTAGAAAAGTTTATTTTTATTTAAGCATTAAGAGAGTGAAAAGATCAATATAGTGTGTAGTGGAATAAATTTCAACTTCGATATTACGAGCTCAGGGATCACCTGACTAATGAAAGGGTGCTAACACACAAATAAGTGCAATGTATTCATAAGTAGACAACAATTAGACAATAGGTAAACTTGAAACCTAATAAAAATGTATTAATAGGATAAAAAAGGATCAAACATCCCTGTAATAACATAAAAAACAATATTCTCTCTCTCTCTATATATATATATATATATATATATATATATATATGGTAGTCCTGAATAATGCAACATATTCAAACTAAAAATTGAATGAATAACAAAAACAATAAATGAATTGGTCACACCTGGCGTCACATTCTCATTATTATTTAGATCTATCAGTAATTGGTAATGATTTTAGAAACACACAATCAAAATCTGTGATTCTCAGCCACACTTCAACTCATCAGTTTGTGTCGCATTTCTGGCGTTTCTGCCATCAGTTCAGTCAGAAATAATTACTCAGTATTCACCAAGCTAACAAACATGAGCAGTCACACAGGCTGGAAAGACACCTCCAGGTTAGACTAACGGATTCGGAGGAGAAAACAAACAGCTAAACGTCCGGGAAATTATTACCCTGACTATTTACAGACCACTTCCTGCTTCACCTTTGACCTACTGTTCTTTCTGTAGTACTTGCACTTGAAGGATTTTTACTAATACATCAGGAGTTTAACGTTCACATGAACTGGGCTTTCGTTCTGAATCATCCTTGTGGTGCCGTCACTGTGTTCTCAGATCTCAGCTTTTACTTTGGAGGGTACGATGTTCTTATTACTAATAGGATTGATGGACAAACTGTAATCAAGTGGTTGACAGAAGTCTGAACCAGTGGACAGCGCTGAGGGATACGCAACATTAAATATGAGGTTACTGATGTTTTGGTTGAACCTGAAGTGTAATTTGAAATGAATCATTTGAAACTCAGAAGTACTAACTCCATTAGAGATCAGAGGTCCATTAGGAGCGATGGAGAGCGCTGATGTTTGAGCTGCCCTCTCAGCTTTGTGACAAACACAGCTCTCACTCTCAAGACTAATGGACCCGCTTCTTCTCCGAGAAGCTTCCATCAGAGATTTCAAAAACTGCTTTTGATGATGAGTGTTATTATTTTTCTGCATTACCTGCTGCTGAATTTCTCCTTCTATACCTCCCTAAATGTGAACATAAATACAAGCACTCAGACAGAAACAGGAAGGAAATGGACAGGTGGATACTCACAGGTACCACGTGTGCTTCTGGATCTGCTCTAACTGCAACGAAAATAAGAAGAGGAAGTAAACATTATTAACATAATAACACCTGCACACAAATATTTATTCCAGCATCCTTGGCTCTCTACGCGACTCTACACTATTTGTTTTGCTGTTTACAAATGTTGTTGTCTGACCGGAAGCTTCCCGCCTTCCTGCAAATGTGTGCTTTGTGCAATTGCATGATTTTGAATAATAAAAAAAAAAAACGATCCAGGGTTTACTCTGCCTCTTGTCCAACGCTGGAGCTTCGGCCCCTGCAACCCTGACCAGAGTGAACAGTTAGATAGATGAATGGGGCCTTGAAGAACAGACTCTTATCGTGTCTCCTTGCAGCAGCACTTCATTCTACGAGCCATTTCGATTCTCCAAAACCTTCAATTTGTTTTCTCAGGGGCTGAGAATAATTTACAAGGACCTCTGAATCAACAAGGACCTCTGTTGGAAATGTTAGGTGTTCTCACTGCAGGTGAGTTTAGGTAAGAGCTTTCACAATGCAAATCATAAACTGTGGTAAATAACCAGTGATTTTTTAAAACTATGTAAGTCACTGGGGATTGGCCCTTTAAGATGAATTGCTATGATTTTGCTCGCGTATCAGATGTGCAGGCTTGTTATTCCAGACTGACTGTTCAAAGTTCAAATAACATGCAGAACAACTGCGAGTGAGAGCACATTATCTAAACACACCCTTTGTTATTTTTTGCAGTGTTTCTATTCTGAGCCAAAACAAATCCTTGGCTTGAGATGAAAAGATGTTATGCAGCACAGTAGCTGCAGGGCCAGTCATGGTGCAGTTCTGCTAAATTTAGCCTGAGCAGCCCCTAAGGCAACAGCCCAGACTGTGAAAATGCGAACCGAGCACGAGTCTACTGAAGATTTCAGCTCTCTCCTGCTCTGCAGCCGGGCCGGGCGCCGAGGTGATGTCAGGTAAGCTTACCGTGAACCTTTTGCCGGCATCCACCTCGATCATACCGCGCAGAAGGTTCTGACAATCTGGAGGGATGAAGTGAGGCATGTGGAAAACTCCCAGCTTCACCTTCTCCAAAAGATTCCTCAGGTTGTCATCGTCGAAAGGCAGGGCGCCCTGGAGAAACGGGAAGGAGGAGACACCAGGACGCGTTGGTCACTCTATACCTGCAGCGTGACGTTTAGATTCAGCTCACACTTTGGTGACTGAAAACATTGTGAATACATTGTCTGGGAGATATTCAGGATCTGGGTTTGGTGTAATACTGACACACAAAAGGATCGTGGATTATGACCACGCGCCAACATCAAACAACTGAAAAACACGACAACACAGATTTAATCTTCTGTACAGTTCCTCTATTGTAAGATAGTAACAACAGTAACATAAATAAGCCTTTCTGTACTGTCTATTCTTTTCTTTCTGTTTGTCTTTTATCTCTCCAGTAAAGGCAGGAATCTGTTTGTATTTCTATTATCAGAGGGGCGGGGCTTATATACGCTCCGCTGTGGTAATGAATTGTTGAAGCTGAGTTATAGTCGTCACACAGGTTTAATATACTTTAGAAACTAATATATCTAGCTGTTGTTTCAGTGTTTCTAATGCTGTAGGTGAAAGCAATGTCAGATGCACATTTTGATCTAAAAAGGGCAGGGAGGTTAAAGGAGATTAAAATTATGTAATCTATTAGTCTTTACTTAAGGATATTATGGTATGTTTATTATTACTCTGTGCTTTTAGCTTAGCTAAGACAGTTACAATACTGCATTACATTACTTTTATTTTGAATGCCAGATGCTAGTTGGGCCGTTAAAGCGCACAGATTTTACACACCAATATTTTCTCTACTATCTAAGGCCGCTTTGGGCTCTGCAGCAACATGTGCAGCTGGTTGATATCCATGTAGAAAAATTGAAAACGATCATCTCAATGTGCTCAGCAGTGTTGTTATAGCAACCTGCCCAGTAGATTGAGACATTTTTTGAGTAAAGATTAGAACAGGTAGACTGATGGTGGCGCTACAGGACTAGTCAGTTTCCTCAAAACACATCATCTTCTTGGAAGTATTAATATCTAAAACTAATGAAAGAAAATGTGGTCAGTCGTTTGCAAGACAACTTCATGGACCAAAGTGTTGGTGAAAGGGGAGTTCCTGCCTGATGGTGGCGCTGGAGGAAAGGTCAGGAGGTCCCGTAATCATTAGGAATCGTCAACTGGGAACTGTGAATATCTACTTCCACTATATTCTGTGACAATCAGGCCAGGAGTTGTCAAGAGTTCTCGAATCTGTTCAACAGCTGGGAGATGAGAAACCAGAACAAACTGCCCGAACAATCCACCCATCATGCACATGTCCTGTCAGGTGTTCGCAGACAAAGAGGAGGGGACTGGAAGCGGTCCGTGAGAGATATCAGTCATCAGAGTTAGCGATGATGAAGCAGTTTGTGTGTCGCAGCCAGCCGGCTCTGCCTCTGCTCTCCAGTGACGTGATGACTGATACCGTTTCCTCCTCACTGAAAACGAGCAGGACGGAGCCAGATGGCCGCTGACACTGCCTGGGTAATCTAAACAACACAGGCGGAGAGATTTATCTTCACATGATGACCCTGTTATGTGCTCAATCTTAATCAAGAGAAGAACACACATGCGTGGTGTTGTTGTGGTTGGTGTGTGTTTAGTTGGTTGTGACTGCTCACTTGTCACTGTCACATTTTAATGCTGCTGCCGGTATGAAGAGCCTTTGTTATGCACATGCTAACTAATGTTTTTTGATTCCAACTATTATCCAAATTATTCCATTGATTTATTCCTTAGATCAGAGAACTTAAAATCCATTATTAGAACTGCAAATTATTTGATCATAAATGAAGATTATTCAGCTCTGATCCATCCTGTAGTTGTTGAGATATTTCACACCTGAAGCAGTTTTGGCCTGACAGTGACATTACCATCCGTAGCACCTTGGCTCAGGTTGCCGGTTCAAGACAGGACCGTGCAGTATGTTTATTTTTATTTATCTTACCTACTTATCGTTTTCTTCTTCAATGTATAGTTCAGAGTTGATGACTCAGATCTGATTTGTTTGTAACAGTCACATGGACTGTGATCTTTTCCTGTTTGAATTTAGGCCGCTTTCATATGTGGTCCAAATCAGATAGAGGTCGTATGTTTTTAAAACTCAGTCTGGACCGTCAGATCAGATTTCACGCGGCCGTCGTGTTAGCGGGAGCTGCGGTGAATGATAAAGCCACAAAAAGCCATAATGAAACACGTGGCTCTGTTTCTCCTCGTCCTCGTTATCATTTGCTCACAAATTTTCTTCCAGCGTATGTGGGCAGGGGGTGGCGAGCCATCTGCTGCGTCGCAAGGCTGCACAAGGCTAGAAACTTTAATGAAGGCAATGAAAAGTACACAAATTTGTGAACATTTGTCATAAATCGGGAGAATTGTGACCCCGGGAGGAAACCAAACAACAACAGCGTGCTGAGTGTGATGTATTATTCCTTTGGGCATGAGGGTCACTTTCAGGCCGGAGCCAGTTCCCACTGGAGTCTGACGTGGGCCGCATATAACAACAATGTGAACAGTAAATTTAAAAAAAAACAACGGGTCTTGGCAATAATTTGAAATTGAGCATTAAGGTCATTCAGGCGCACGGCAGTTTTCTTTCTGTGCTGATTTAATATATAATGTGGTTTCAAATATTTATTGGTACACAGTGTGTTTCCAGCATCCATCTTTAATTTAATCCCAACTGGTGTAAGACGCGCAGACGTTAGACTGCCTTCATGGAGCAGACTTCAGTATTAACGATGCCCAAAGTTCCTAGATGTTGACTCTCTGCAAAAAAAAAAAGCTGCTGTCAGGGAGTTTGTTTTGCGCTTTGGCGACCTCTCTCTTCACCTTGGACATTCTTCTGGGAACAACAACAAGAGTAAAGAGTTCATTCAGCATAAATACTTTGGCCTCAGGAACTAAACTAAATCAACTTCTCCTTCTCTTTCCCCGGCAACACTGCATCAGACCAGGAGAGTAAACAGCTTTCCTGTGACAGCATATTCTGAATCACAAATAGGATAAAACACCTGGAGGGGAAGAGTCGAAAAGAGCAATGAGTCCAGTTTATATGTCCTATCAGAAATATGACTTTTAATCCCAGAGAGGAAAAGGTTTATAAAAACAAATTAATCTGAAGTGTCCAGTGTATACTGTTTATAATCTGTAGGTTGACAGTTTAACCTTCCAAGTAAGCTACAAACTTTTGCCTGCGTCACCTGGAGCAAACCAGTAATCTTTAGCAAAGGTTAGCAAGTAGATTCAGGTTGGAGTACGAAGAGTCATATGACAAAGGCATCACATGGGATGCCCCAGTAAGGAAGGTAAACTCCTCGCTAAACAACTTCTCACATTTGTGCATGTAACTCACTTTATTTTAATGCCAGAAATTCAAATTAAAAAAAGGTTTTCACACTTGGCTGAGGTGGAGAAGTTGGTGCAAAGGAGGCAGACTTGGTGAATAAATGCTGACGTACATGAAACAGCTGCAAACATCAGATGTGCTGCAGCGATGAGGAGGCTGTTCCCTTCCTCACATTAACACACGACACTAACAGAAATGTCGGATGTCATCATGTTGAGCTTCTACTGGAGCGTCACCTCGTTGTGTCTTCTTCTTCTTCTGCAATGGTTTAATGGCAGCGACTGGAGAATCAGCTACAGCAGCTGTTTATCTCCGTCAACCAACTCATGTGTTTGCAGTAGTGGATGGAAACCAGCATTAATTCACATTTTCAATTCTGTTCAAACTTAAAAGTTAAAGTCGGATGAAAACTTGACTAGTGTTGGGCAAGAACACACCAGAAAGTGTAATTGTTGTTGTACTGTAGTTACTCTCTTCAGTAATGCGTAGTAAGGAATTACAATTTAAAATTCAGTCATTAAGTTACGGTTACTAATCCTAGTAAATGCTCTGTTGCTTCGACTCCATTCTGTAGAGATGATGTAACATCCTGATGAGACAAATCCTGGAGCTGGCCAATAGGCAGTGAATAACATAACGGGACCTTACGTCTAAATAAAATCCCTTTGGATATTAAAGCCCAAATTGAAATCTGTGAATCCACTAATTCTGTAATTCAACATTAGGACCAAGTGCCACCTGACTTTCACTCCAAGGAACAAGGTCCGTTTATTTGCTTTTGCTGCTGCTGTTTTGGTGCATCGGCTGTGACTCACCACTAAAAGTGCAAACAGGATAACTCCACAGCTCCATGCATCTGCTTTCCTCCCGTCATACTTCTCTCCCTGGTGAAGACAGACAGCGATGAGATTCACATCATAAACTCTGTGCAACATTCATTCTTTTTCCCGAACTGCGAATCGCCCTGACTGCTCTGAGCGTTGGCAGCTTACTTAATGGAAAAAAACCGCACCCATTTATGGATGTTCCTTCAGTGCAGTGTGCAAACTATCCCATAGCTTTCGGGGGAGCTCGCTTTGGGGGGGTGACTGTCAACGTATCAGGCATGTTTGTCTCATTATCATATGTAGCCATTTTGCTACAATTACGCTTCACACAACAGCTGCGGCTGTGTTTGCGACCTGACCTTTCTTTTCTCCATGAGAGGGAAGAATTCAGAAAGTTGTGCGACGCTGCGGAGAGCCCCCAGCTGCAGGAGTGCACGGTAATATTCACCCAGCAAGAGGGAACATTCACAAGCCGTTCACAGTATTGGGGCGTTGGGGGCGTCGGGGGCGTCCGGGGTCAGGAGATCGCGGAGCGACCGACCCGCTGCGGACTGTCTGTGATTGTTCCCTGGTCTGGATGAAGTCTGACAGTCCTGATTTTACGCATGGATCCATGATGATAGAGAAATGTAGAAATGAATGGCAATAAATCATGCTGTCAATATTTTAGAGACCAACCTGAAATATCATAAATCATGCTTTTAGGGGAGCTGATGTCTTATTAAGCTCCCCCGTAGTTCACACCCTGCTTCAACGTAACATCAGCAATGTGATGGCGACTGCACTGCAGGCGTTACTTTGGGATGAAAACCTACCTGTTCTAACATGTCGGCATGTCAGTTAGTTGCTTTCTTTGATTCCCAAAATGCAAATACAAACACAGGCGTGGATCTAGGACAGTTGGGACATTATGTCAAGATGCTGCTGAATTTTAACTCCTTGTTGTGTTACTGGTATTTTCTTGTAACATTTATTTTGAAAATCTATCATATTTACATTTTAAATATTAATTTTACTCCAAGGTTTACATTAACAAAATAAACCGTACAACATCTGTTTAAAATCAGATTAAAACGTCCCACGATACAAGCGCTGTTTCAGGCTAATTATATAACCAAATACATATTGAACAAAACTCTATGTGTGTGTGCACATAAAAAGAGAAAAAAGGGATGGAGGGCAAACACACACACACACACACACACACACACACACACACACACACACACACACACACACACACACACACACACACACGCGTACGTCGGTCGTCCAGCAGAAAAATGCCCCAAACAAAGTTAAAACCAAATGTGTGCCCGTGTTTGCAAAATAGAAAATGAATAAGGAAGTCTTCATCATTGTGGTGTACATTAGATAAAAGGGGGGGGAGTGGGGGGGGGGGGCATCATCGTTGGGTTTTGGACTGATGTTCACAGGAAGATGAGGAAATGGACAAAGACGTGCAAGACTACGTCACAAAAATCTGATCTTTTAAGTGTGTTTCAATCCAGTGAAGGACGAAGAGGCCGAGCGCAGTGAATGCAGAGAGGAGACGTAAGAGCCATTCTGCAGAGTGCAGCCGGAGCCGCTTTTACTGTATGAAAGAACGAAACACAGAGAGAGCACTTACCCTGATAACCTCTGGGCAGGCGTAGTGCGGAGATCTGTAGAAGAGGCAAAGAGGCGGTTATGCTGGAGAGTCCACATACAAAATCACACAAGACTGCACACTCAGCCAGCAGCCACAACCTGTACACGAGGAATAAAGTGACCAGGTGAATCTCTGAAGAAATATAAACCACTTTAACCAAAAACATCCAGGACACTTTTACTGCCTGATGTGGATTATTAGTTGTTAGCTGAGTGAGCATTACATAACATGAAATGGCCTCAGTCCAAATTCTTGTGATGATGGCTCATCCTGTTGAATAACATATGACAGCATCCGACACCGTCTCCACAATGTGACACAATTTCACAGCAAACAACAGCCAAAGTAGTGAAATGCTTTATATAAAAAGGAGCACAACAGTGTTTTTAGCTTATTTTAGATGCAAATCACGTGTACTTCCGTAAAATCCGAGGAATTCATCACAGACACTCATGGGAAGTCCATTCAAAACGGCAATGTGAAAGTGTAACCGGATGCTACATATGTATTGTTGCTAACTTTACCGGATGCTAACTTGACCGCGGAGCCTCAAACGTCTAAAAATGACGCTAATGGGGTACCCGGGGCGTTAAAAAGTGACGCCAAATGGCCTTGACTCAGCATCATTATGTGACGAGTCGGGAGTGAGCATGTGTTGCACAAGCATGATCACCTTTGACCTTGGAAAAGCCAGGGGGCCCCCGTCCACTTCATACTTTGCAGGTCAAAAGCTACATTTTAAAAACAATTGTAGAAGTGACAAGGAGCCAACGGAGAGAAGCTGGAGCAATGTGTGATGATGAGGAATGCACCTTTAACCAAAAAGTACAAGTCTGAAAGTATAATTATTGATAGTGAAGAAGAGCAGTTAAGTTTTGGGGGATGTTGATGGCTTCAGATCTTCTGAGATAAAAGGTAAAAGAAGAACACAAGAACTGAAGGAGGAAAGGGAGGACTCGGGAACGGGCCACGACCGGAGCTGCAGTCATAAAGATCTGCGGTGTGTGTGCTCAACATCTCCTGAACAACCCAACATTTTTCCGGCCTTCCTCAGCGTGGATTAATCACAACAAATGAAGCAAGAGAGCGCAACTCTTCCAACTCTGCGCTACACGAGCACAGATCCCACAGTAAACACACCGTCCATCATTGCCAACATCATACTTAATTATGCTAATGTATGTAGAACCAGTCGATCTGAACTACCCAAACACAGACGTGTCAAAATGCACTAACTGCAATATAATTACACCAGAGCAAATTTTCATCCTTCCTGCTTGAAGCGACTCGGTCGCTGAGTGACATTTAATGAATTTCATTAACGTCATATGAAGTGGAAGAGTCATCTTGTTACTCATGCGAGATATTTACAGCATCCTTCAGAGGTTCTTCATAAAACCCGTCTGCATCAGCGAAGTGTCTGACAGACGCTCTGTTCTTTGCACTGGTCACTTATGTCGTCTTATGTTGCGTCTGCACGATACAAAACAGTGCGTCTCTGTACACATGGAAACCCCTTGGCATTTCTTACATCCTGTAAGCATGGCTGTGGTCATTTCCAGGTCAAAGATATCTGGCATTTAAGTAAAACTGGGCTAAAATATGAGTTTGACAAGGGCCGGATGAACCCACGAGGGACAAAACCTGGATGTGGGACGCTTTGTTATTTATTATTTATTGTATATTTTAAGTGTTTTTGTAGTGGTGAAGCCCTTTGTAATGCTGGTTTTTAAAAGTTCTATATATTAAAGATATACTGTAATACCTTCCTTACTTACTTTTGACCATATCACATCCTCATCAACACATTTAATGAGATTAAGCAGATTAAGGTCAAGAATGAACTGTAAAGATCCATTTTTAAGTCAACATGTCCTAGAGGGGCTCAGAATAATGGATAGTTTGAAATATCTACATCTACACAGCAACGGATAAGAACTGCATGATTCAGTCAAACAGGAACAAAGGAGGAAACAGATCTTGATTTTGTGCGTCCAATGTAACGGGAGCACATACTGTACAATGAAACTGTATTTCAACATGTAATTATTAAAATGAAGTAATTTAAAAGCTGCTGCAGATATGTAAAATCTTTTGACCTTAAATCACCAAATTCATTCTAACTGGGATCGTAGTGGTTCTGACTGCAGTTGTCATGTTTGCTTCATTAACGACCACACAGGTGAGCTTCCCGTCGTGGCCATCAGAACATACACATTTATTTTAACATAAACCCTTCTGTGTCGCATTATTTCAAGTGTTTGAATTATACTGAGGACTAATCAGTAACTGTAGGCAGAACATTTTGCCCAGTAACAACATGTTCTTCTCTCTCTCCCTTGTGCAACCGGAGGAGTCTGGCTTTAGCTGTTCCACATGACTGACTCCATGAAACACAGGTTGGCCTGAGGTTAACTGTGGCGAGCGGGACACATCGGATCAGCCTGTATCTTGCAGAGCTTTCTAAAGCCTGCGGAACAAACAACCGGGACCTTACAGGAGCCGCAGCATCTTTAGACGGCAGCCCACATCAGCAAGACACGCATCTCACTAAAGCTGGTGTGTTATTTTAAAGATGCACCCAATATTTTATTAATTTACTCAAATAAAATAGTTGTCTGAAGGGGGGGTTGCTTAATAATGTTGCTCCGTTTTCTTTATTCCTTTAAGATTGGACACGTGTTTTACTTAAAACCGCCTTTACTTCATTTCCTGTAGGATTCATCTTTCCATACTTGCACAGCGCGAAGAATCCGAAACTACTTTGTTACCATCCAGACTTTGTTGCATCAGGAAGAGACAAGAACAGGAAGCTCAATAAACAATGTTTTCTGAGGCACTAAGAATATCCTGTTCATGACTCCACATTCTGACATGGCAACAAGACATCGTTTATTTCACAATAACAAAAGCAACAAAGACGTGTTGCTGCTTCTGCAGGAGTTGTGTGGCAACGTGGGCAAGAGCAAGGACTCTGCTCCATCCCTTTCTACCTTTAGGTTGTCAGCTGCAGTGTTATGTGTGAAGAAGGGGTGTCAACTCCGAGACAGGATGAACAAAAGGTGAAAAAGAAAAGACAATCAAACAACACATTGCGCACTGTTTAGGACTCTGGGACTTGAGTGTGAAGATTTACTCGATGTGGCTGAAAACACTCACCCACAGCTGGTCTCCAGCAGACTGTCCCCGACCTGCAGAGACGCCATGCCAAAGTCTGCTATCCTGATGTTGTTCTTCTCGTCTAACAACAAGTTCTCAGGCTTCAAATCTCTGTGGCTGCAGGACGACAGGACAGGAAACAGAAGAAAGAGATTGAAATGTTGATTTAAATTGAAAAGTGACGACCATCCTGACACCTGGAATCAATAACCTCCGTCTCTGCATCCATCCAGGCCTCCACCAGCTTGTTTTGGGTTTTATTAGTATTTCATTTTTGCTTAAACTAAAAAAAAGCGAATGTTAAAGTTCTAGTACCTCAATAAAAGGTGTCACTCCCTTTTTTGTTACTTACTCCAGTTGATGATGTTGGATATATGGTTTATTTTGGGTCAGACAGAAATCTTTTGGCCTCTGAAGACTTAACTGCTTAACTGTCTGGTTCATGAGATATAATTGGAAGATGTTGCGCCTCTCAGCCTCTCAGCTTCTTCACTTCTGGAACAGTTCTTCAGCTGAAGAAGCGTTTCAAATGACATCCTGTTTCCTTTGACAGAGCACTTCCTCCATCCACTGGCATTCTGACAATGACCATTTTACTTCTGCTTCTTTGCTGTAATTTCATGTAAAATAATATTTGAATCGAGTGGGCACTTTGCTTTTATGCTTCAACTTTGGAGGTGGTGTGGGCGAAATGGGAAACAATTAGTCCTGAAAGCCTTCACACCTACAGGCTTTCTTCTGTTGTAAAGGCTACTGTACGGCAATCCAATTATCAAGAACTGATCCAAGTCAGTATCTACCCTTTTACTCAAAACGAGTGAGGGAAATGAAACCGGTAGATACGAGCTTGACTTTTCCCGGTTCATCCAGGAAACACACATCACAGAACAAATCCAGTTCTTCAAAGCTAAACAGTTGATGTCTCATGCTGAGAGGCAGAACGTCTTTGATGTGCAGTTGCTCTTAGATACACAGCGTTGCAGCCATGCACCGAGGAACTAAAGGTGCTCTCACAGATGAAAAGAGATCAAGAGGAGCTGGACCCTCTAAAGCCACCCCCGGCTACAGCTGATGAGGAAAGAGGCTGAAGAGGAGGCACACGGGAGGGAACCTGTTGTTCAGTCACCAAAACTGAGCAAACACTTCAGTTCTTCTAGGAATACGACTTCATAAAGAATTCTTGGCTAATAAATGGCGTGCCGCCTCGACGCAAGGATCCGAATCGAGGCTGTAAGGACAGAGGGTGTCTCTTTCTCTCTCTCTCTCTCTTTCACTCTCTTTCTCTCTCTCTTTCTCTCTCTCTCTCTCTCTCTCACCCCAACCGGTCGAGGCAGATGGCCGCCCACTCTGAGCCATGGTTCTGCTCGAGGTTTCTGCCTCTTAAAAGGAAGTTTTTCCTTGCCTCTGTCTCCTAGTGCTGCTCTTGGTGGGAACTGTTGGGCTTCTGTAAATATCATCACAGAGTTCGGTCTAGACCTGCTATTTTATGAAAAGCGCTGTGAGATAACTGTTGTTGTGATTTGGCGCTATATAAATAAAATTGAATTGAATTGAATTGAATAGAGGGCGTCGTACTCTGTGTCACTGCAATTTTTCAATTCAGTGGGAAAGATGAAGAAGACAGGCCTAAATGAGCTGAAGTTCATCTGATCTGCAGGCCTGCAAATGCTCAGTAAATATTCCCCAATGTGTTTTCTAAACATAACATTGGGATTTCCAACTAGTTCAACAGTAGATAATTAGAAAGAAATCATACCCAACCTGAGTGCCAAGCTGTGCGCAACACAACTGTCAAATCCCAACCTAATGATTAAAAATGATAGAAGAAAAAGGTATCTGACCATATGGAGTGGCTGTGGCAGAAGTCCAGGGCTGAGATGATCTGTCTGAAGAACTTTCTGGCCTCTTTAGGTGTTAACCGGCCCTTTTTCACCAGGTAGTCAAACAGTTCTCCCCCAGACACATGCTCCAGCACCAGGTACCTGCACACAGGAAGAGAGCGGAAAACAGATCAAGTACGTCGGTGAAGGAATAACTACTCATTTATTATTTATCATTACTAATGTGAGTTCAAGTGATCGAATGTGCAGGATTTTAGATACAGGACTTGAACCTAACAGCAGTATCTTATGATCTTATCAGCAAAATCAGACAAGAAAGTAACAAACAAGTACGATAACTCCTACAGAATAAAAAGAGGGGATGAATATTTGCCATGGAAATACTCAAGTAAAGTCACAGAAGCAAAAAACTAAGTACTACCCCACCTTTGAGTCCACACAGAGAGCAAACACCCTCAAATCCTAAAATACATTTGTCCTCAGAATCAAAGAGGTATTACTGATCATAATAATTCCTAAAGATTTGGCTATGACATGCTGAAGCTACCACAGTACACTGATGCAGACACTAAATCCCCATCCAGGTTTGGTTTGTGTGCCTGTGCTTTAAAATGTTTTCTCTATCCGTTCATTTGTCTCGGAGACGTCGTCGATCCTCGCCTCCTGCAGCCCGCCTCCCCCACGGACTGATTTATTAGCAGATTAAGGGATCTGCTCAAGCGTTTGCCTGTCGGAGCTATTTAAATTAGAAACGTGTTGGCTTGTGATTTGTGAGTGGGAATTTTTCCACCGCAAACTGTTTGCATCCACGATGACCATCCGTCCCTGTCCTCGCAATATTAAGAGAACAAATTCCCGCTCCACTTGACGGCGTTGGCTTTATCAATTATTGAACAGCGCATTAAGCCGCGCCACTGGAGCACAGCCGCCACATGTAGCAGATTAATGTATACAACAAAACACGGATATACATTAAAGCTCCACAGTCGCAGGGAGCAGGTTAAAGTGAGGGGGCCTAATAAACATTTCACGCTTTAATAAAATGCCAGAGCTCAAACTGCTGCGTGAAGGGAAGGTGCTCGAGTTAAACTGTTCTGCAGAGCCGTCGAGTATAATTTAGACGTGGGTTTTCATTTACATGCTTTATCAGCCCTTAAAGTCAAACTGTAAATGAAACCATGACACTGCATCTTCTCTACTTTTAAAAAAGTTTGTGAACATATTTGTGGAAATCTCACCCCTCTGTGGGCGTGTCCCGCGACACTGCTAGGAAGAGACTCCCGTGGCGATTACGGATGTGAACATGTTTGCTGGACACTATAAAGACTTTTTCCCCTTTTCAGGTCTACATTGTGTTGCCTGCCTACATAGATATTCAACAACATAAATTCATGGCTACTGAAGAACACTAATAAACGGGCGGCACCGTCACTGCAGAGAAATGAAACTCAGTGGAACAGTGGAGATTTTCCTTTTGATAAAACAAGCATTTATTTTTAACCAGCTTAAACAATGTATGTTTATGTTCAGCAGCAAAGCCGGACGTTACAGAAGTCTTTGAAACCTGCTTGTTAATGTCAGACATTTCAAATATTTTACATAAATTTAGTTTCGATTTGTGCATTATTTATTATTATATGTGTCGTGAGGCCAACATTACTTTGCTTTAACCCTGGAAATTCAGCACATCTCAGCAATAAAGTTATAGATTGTCAAATATTACTGAAACTGATTGGAATGAAATTCTATTTTATTGAAACGTATCTAACTTGTCAGTAAATGTGATTTGATTAATTTACAAGATGTGGGGCGTCAAATGAGCACTGTTGTTTTTAGGTAACATAACCACTTAAATAGTCATATAAATAATGATAATATTAGTTACAATGACAGCAGCTACAGACATAAACTCCTCTGTCTGCTCCATTGTTTATTTAGCCCCTTTTCCACGGTTCCAGCTCCACTCGCCATTTTTTGGTTTTCCATTGGGGAAAAGTTGGACCTGTAACAGGTACTTTTTTCGTATCACCTCACCTCCGCGAGGTTCCAAGCGAGCTGAGGCAATACTAAAATGTGACAGACTGCTGATTGGTCAGAGAGGATCGTCACTAGTGCCAGACAGAGGCCAGCAGCAGGAAGTTTTATATTTTACAATTTTCATGCGTTATTTCATCACTAAATCCACTTCTGAGAAGTTTTGAGCTGAGAAATCAGCTGTGTAGATTTCCAATATTGACAGTTTTACGAGAAGTGATGGCGGAACAAAAATGTGCTAGAAAGTTTTCGGAGTTGAGCTGCGGGAGGAGCGTGTGAGGCCGGCCGGCCGCCCAATCACAGAGCCCTCTGCTCCCGCCGTCACACAGACCGCTGCAGTAACGACGGCAGAGGAAAACACAGCTGGAAGGTTTTCATACCGCTCATCTGTCTTTACATTCTGAGGAAGGTTCAAACGCTTTAACTTAAAAAAGAGAAAGCTGTGTGGCTCGCTGGTGTGTGTGTCGCATTGAACATTACGTCGCCGCAGTTGTCGCTGTGACGACCAGCTACATTGAGGGGTGCCATCTCTGGGTACTCTCTGCAATGGAAAACGGAGCACGGTACCGGTAATGGAAAAACTGCATTTTTTTCCACTCCTATGAGGTGCAAAGGCTGATGGGTAATTTTGTTGCCAACTTCCGGCAAAACTGATGAACCGTTCTTCTTCACTTCTTCCCTTTGCAGTTCACAGTTCTTCGCCCACTTAGCAGGGAACTACTAGGTGATTGGAACCCACCGAATGTCATGAATCCCCCACTCAGGTGCCTCTTTATTAAAGTACATTTCCTGCATATTAAATCTGAGTGGGGCCAAAGGCAAAACAAAAAGAAATTTGCATCTTTAATCTTTAATCAAAAAAGTGACGATGTCGTTGCTCACAGTGACTGCAGCTGAAGACAAATGTACTTACAGGTACTTCTTATTTTCATAGACATCATGCAGCTTTAAAACGTGAGGATGCTCTATGAGTTTCAGAATGGCTATCTCCCGCTCCACCTGGAGAGAAACACAGAAAAACATAAAATCGGTTACAGAAAGTCATTAAAGAGATCATCCTCATGTACAGCAAACAGTCTGATGTTCATGTCATCCTCGAACTAAAACCACCACAGGCCTGTTTTACTGGACTCAAGCCAGAACCTGTAGCCTGGACAAGTAATGGAAACACACACACACACACACACACAGTTTGTTTTTGTTATGTCATGTTAATCACACCATCGGCCCTTGGCTGTTTTCACACCCATGTTGTTATGTGCTTGCTGAAACAAAAACTCAAACATTTAACCTCTGGACCGGTTCACTTGTGATGGCTGACGGTCTGTTTGTTTGATGCCTGACACTTCTACATTTACACACTCATACTTGGGTCATCAAAAAGTGAATACGGCCCTTTCAGATACAGCAAAGTGAAAATTGTTTCTGTTTCACATCAACCAGTTAAGAGTCTACAGCACAGCTGAGCTTTGGGCTAAATGCAAACACGCTCACAATGCTGACACGCTGATGTGAAACAGTTACAATCTATACAACCCGTTCTCCCTCCCAGACTCGTGATATGGACGCAGGGTCCAGACCCATCGGCGTCAGTTTGTAACGCACTGGGGATCCCTGTAGCGTCATAGTTCAGCGCAGTGGGGGGGGGGGGGGGGGGGGGGGCCTGTAGCGTCAGGCATATGATATTTAACACAAAAGACTGAGGAGGTGTTTGGGGTGGATGGAGGGCCAGATCTGGACTTTGAACCAGGAGAGCGGTGTCTGTGTCCCGTTTGAAACAAAAATTCAACATTCATTTTTTATTATCATTATTTTTATTTAAGTTAGGCAAGTGACATAAGTTAACTTAGTTAACGTAGTTATTTTAACTCAAACCGTGATTTTTTTCCAAATCTAACCAAGTAGTTCTTGTGCCCAAACCTAACCAAACATTTCACAACTTTAATAACGTGCCGTTTCCAAAAGGCCATGTTTCGAAACGCTAGCATTTTATTTTAAAAGTGTAACCAAAGGTTGCATACCTATTGTTGCTAACTTTACCAGACGTTGCATATTGTTGTTGCTAAGCGTTGCTAACTTGACCACAGAGCCCTAAATGTCTAAAGATGATGCAAAAGGGGTACTGAGGGCGTTAATAAGCAACATATTGACCAAGTGTCAATATGTGACGAGTCAGGAGTGAGAATGTGTTGATCTATATCAAGTTCGCCTGGCTGGCTGTACAGAATGTCATGGACATGCATCCAATAGTATCAGTATGGACCAACGTAGACCACCAACTGACAGCCAAAAACTCTAAATGTAACAGGATTGTTGCTTCTACCTGGGCCTCTTGCCAATGATGGAAATACACGTAGCGGATTCGTCTTTACTTCCAACGTTGCGTTAGCAGTGGCTTTGTCAACCTTAGAAGCAAATGTTTTAAGATAACTTCTGTTTCATGTAGCCTTTCTAACACTGTGTGGTTTTCTAAGATAAATACATTGATTATTTTGTTATCATTTAACAGCGGCACTATGGGATTTATTACTACGGAAACACTCTCCAAACATCATGCGGGCATCATGGGAGCTGGACCTGTTTAAATACTAATACAGTACGGCAGTATGCTGCATATTAATTTATCTTAGAATATGAACAGAAAACATGTTTTAGCTTTTCAGAAAGATCAGAGTAATCGCACTGAAGACTGATGTAATCTGTTGTTCATCAGTTGATCTGGTTTTCTGCCGTGTACACTGATGCACTGGTTACTAAGCACACAATAATAAAGCTGTGGTGACAAGACGTTACAGTCTCCTTACACAGTTTGAGTGCAGCAGTCAACCACCTGCCTGAGTTCACTTACGGCTGCACTGTGTGCCAGTATGTAACGCTACACAGCAGGCTCAGTGTCATCATCCAGACACCTGGCTGTTCCTCCTGTCCTCCTGTCCTCATGACGCGTGAGCATGATGCACCAGTGACAAAGCCTTTCATCATGCTGACTTATTTTCAGTCAAAGTAAAGGGCGGTTATTATTCTATGTTTGTGTCAACAAATCCCATGAAAAGACCAAAACTAACTATGAATGAATCTCCGAACAAGTCCTGTGTGTGTCTCAGCCGGACGTTGTCCAGAAACTATTAAACCACATCAGTGAGCCTCACTGCTGCTCTGGCTGACATGTTCCTTCACCACGAACACACAGAAGTTTATTCTGACACAGTCCCACACACACCGTCCTGCTGCCGCACACTAGAGAACCACGTGTGGATTCATCCGTCGCTGAAAATAGTCCCCAGAAGAGGCCCCATTTCCTCTTGTTTGTTGTTGTTAGTTTTGATCTTATCATGGTTTGTTGACAAAGAGAAAAATATGAAATAACACCTAAACCCCCAATTTCCTGTCATATAACAGAATTACATCATGTTTGCCAGCAGCCGCAGGTGAGTGTCATAAAACGATGAAGAGTAAAATGTCCGGACATACAGACTGCTGCCTGAAGCCGTTTCAGTGCTAACCTGCCGGCTGTGCTCTGGATTTACTGGCAGTTGGCACCTCAGCAGGCCGCAGGGTAAACTGAGTTTAGACCTCTGTGCTGCAGAGACAAACTGTAGCAGCAGTTTGTTCACAGACACCATCAGTCAGACATGCTGGTAAACTGCATCTCTGAGCTCGTTTTGTTTGGGGAGTTTTTGCAATTCCTGTGGATAAAAGGGCCAAATCGACGTCAACGATGACGTCAAATCAGGGTATTTTAAGCCCAAAGAAATGGAGTCTGATAGCAGAAAATGTTCCAGGCTCTGAATCAAAGAAGGCATCTTTCCAGAGCAACAATAATACAGTAGGAAAGCCATTAGAGGAAGAGGTACAGGGACACATCCCCCCCCCACACACACACACACACAAGCATGAAAATGGACCAGAATGCAATGCAGCATCAGAACAAGCTGGGATTTGAGAATGGCTTTAAAAACTAACCCAATGTTTTTTTTTGTTTGTATACCCAACATGAAACACTGATTCCTTTAATTGTTGAAAATTAATGCATTAGTTCAACTTCACTAGTTAAATAAAAAAAATATTTGTGCAGAGAGGTTAAATGTAGTAATGTCCAGATTAAGTAAACATACAAGGCAACATTTTCATTGAACACATCTGAAAAACATTCATTCTCAATGTAAGTCAGATGTTTTCTTCATTGTCTGCTCACTGCAGCATGACTCCTGTTTTAATGGTTACGCTTAGGACACTCAAAATGCTTAGTTAGGGAAAGATCGTGGTCAATGCTAACTTGAAGCAAGAGATTGGGAAGGGTTTTTAAACTGATCCAAAACCACCATCAATAGGTTCTGTGGGTGCACAGGAGTCCAGGTTATCATGAGAACCTCTGTAGATTTGTCATCTTCCTGTGCCAAAGCCAGAAAACATGGATGGGATCAGCGCAGCTGCACGTTTAGGAATGCCAGCGGAGCCCTGTCGACACTGTTAATGTTGTTATTATTCAGCTCAATCCCCCCCTTGGATACAGGAGTCAGCAGAAGTGTGGACTCACAAAAATGATGACTTTAGACTCGAATTGACAAAATCAAAGAAGACTTGCGACTCGACTTTGACTTGAACAGCAATGACTCGTGACTTCACTTGGACTTTTGACTCGCGCTGACTTGACACTCCCCGTGCCCGAATATAAATTATGATTTTATGCAGCGCATCAACATGGCGCGGTGCTCCATTAGACTGGAGCGTGCGGCTTCCTCCAGCAGGAGGGAACAACCAGCGACCCACCCCCTCTCCGGTACCTACAATGGGTTGTGTGGCAGGCCTACTACCAGCGCGCTGGGAACGGTTCCTGATCGTTCCCTCTGGCTGGAGGAATTTTACGCATAAATCATGCACAACAGCTGTGGGCCTGACGCACTAAATTCCTCCACCTCACGGAGAAAAGAAAGGTCAGGTGGAAGCAGTGTAGAGAGACTGCTGCAGCTGTTGCGTGAAGCTGCTTCCACCAATTATAAAAACATAATAGCGCCGGGTGCTGTTTCAAAACCACACTCGTTTTCTTTTATAAATCCAGCGCACCCCTTTCCTTCACAGTCCCTCCCTAAGAGGTGTGTTCAGTGTTGCTTTACCTGATCGGTTCTTGTAAAATATCCAATGTGTCTGCGTCTTCTAACGTCAGAGCGATTTGTAGTTTTCTCACCGCTGGTTTCTGTCACTGCATCTCCACGGTTTTATTTCAGCGTTCTGTAACGTAACTTAATAGTTCACCTGTCACCTGCTCCCCTCCGCGTACACACACACACACACACACACACACACACACACACACACCCCCCTCAGTGACCCATCCGTCACCCAAAGCTCAACTTGGGGGAAACTGTGCTGCTGTCCTCCTCTTGCACACTAGATGCTGCTTCAAGTTAATAATGTCGGATTATTGTTTCTTATTTCATGGGCTATTTGGGATTTTTGAGTAATGCATATATAGTAGCCTAGTTTTTACTAAGAAAGTATTAAATTTCAATAGTTAATGTTTCCTAAGGCGATGAGTAATCCTGTTAAATAATTGTGATCTCAATATTGACCAAAATAATTAGCAGCCCTACATGAACATTTAATTTAATTCATGAAATTTGTTGTGTGAAACTACGGCTCTGCCTTCTTTCTGTACAGGCTAACGCTTCATTCAATACATTGTTTTATTTTTAACTTGAAAAAACTTGAAGAGCGCATTATGACTTGTTTAGGACTCGAAACTCAAAGTTTAGGACTTGACTCGGACTTGCCACTCACGATCAGTCTGGACTTGAGACTTGACTCGGACTTGTTGGTCCTTGACTTGAGACTTGACTCGGACTTGCCACTCACGATCAGTCTGGACTTGGGACTCGACTTGGGACTTGAGTGCTAAGACTTGAGACTTGACTCGGACTTGTTGGTCCTTGACTTGAGACTTGACTCGGACTTGCCACTCACGATCAGTCTGGACTTGGGACTTGAGTGCTAAGACTTGA